CCACACAGACTGCAGGAAGGGCTACCCTGCTACTGCACTGGGGCATTGGGATCCACACAGACTGCAGGAAGGGCTACCCTGCTACTGCACTGGGGCATTGGGATCCACACAGACTGCAGGAAGGGCTGACCCTCTTCCAGCAGCAACCCGGCTTTCCCAGTTGGTCTCCCATCCAAGTACTGGCCAGACCCAAACCTGTTTAACTTCAGGTGGATTACCTAGTCTGGACTGCAGCTGGGATGGCTGATGACATGGGCAGGCTAGCTGCCTTAAGCGTGTGATTGGCAGCATATCATGCTATGAATGAACCCCAGTCACCTTTCCCTCCTTTGTCTAAACCTTACATACCCCCCAGACCCGAAGCTCATACCCACTGCGTTAGTCTTGTGTCTTTCCCTGCACCATCTCCTGCAGTAACAGTCTCCAGCTTTTCATTCATTATCTCCCACCACCTGCTCCTCTCCATCCTTCTTCTGCCTAAAATGAAGATGGAGGGTTATCCAGCAGCTGCAGTTCTGAGGAGAATGTCTGTTATTATGTATGATACCGTGAGCCAACCAGACGACGGCTGGGTCGCTGAGCGCTGTTGTGGCCGCGAGTGTCAGTCTCTCTGCTGATTGCTTGCAGATGGATATCCATACGGCTGCTGCGCATGTGTCAAAATGTGACATGAAATATGTGAATTCTCACCGAAGTTGCACATCGAGTCAGATTACATTTTGCCCGCTCGAGTTAGCATTTGTGAGTCAACTGTGGCTGGCTTGGGAGATGGCCCTCTATAAAAGCAGGCCTGTCAGTAGGAACTTCAAGGAGAGAAGATGCCACTGTGGTTATATAGATCTGCAGATGGAGATCCCCTGGAGAGGTCTGCTGTTGCACCTTTTAGACGAGGGCTCTTGAAGTGGGGAATAGTGGAGGTTAAAGCACCAGCAAAGAAATGATAATAGTCCAGTGTTATGGGCCTCGTCAGGCTGAAGAAACATGGAAGGTCTGGATGTTACATATATTCAACATGGCAGCCAGAGCGGAATTTGAAACTCCTGATCAGAGGTGGCAATTTCAGGTCCAGAAAGTAAAAATCCAGACCATGATTTACTTTCAACCAACCAGTTCAGCATAAAGAGTCAAAGTCACAGAGTACTCAACTGGTTGGTTGAAACAAAATCTTGGTCTGGATTTGTACTTTCTGGATCTGAAATTTACACCTCTGCTCCTGATCTCTCCTGTTCCCAAATGGCTCCACCAAGGTTTACTCTCATTCTCCACCTTTTCTAAACTAAACTATAATCAGTTATTCTGTCCTTTAAATTAATCCCATAATAATATACTCCTACAGAGCAGCATCTCTCATGGGGCTTTGGACTTGGATGATTTTCTAGATTGCCTATTAACTATGTATTACCTCATTAGAGTTGCAACGGCTCAGAAATGTCCTCTGTGCCCAGATGATTACTTGTTTTTATCTCGAGAGGCATGCTGTTGGACCCTACAATCAGGTCATTTACCTACATGTAACTCCAGTACAACATTCAGCTGCAAAAACTGGCAACAGTACAAGTTCATATTATTAGTAACTAAAATGCAAGAAGCCAATCAGGAGGCAACCATTTGGGTGTCAGTCTAAACAATTAGGCAGAATTTGGATTTTAATTAATTACATTTCATTGACAGACCGGTGCACTACATGTGCTGGTATCTCTGTTAGGAAATGGAGTATTTACTCAATGTACTGCCAGATCTCTTGCATCCAGCAATCAAGTAACTGGCTGTAGTAGCCAAGTAATTCAAGTAATGCTGAAGTACCATGCACAATTCTAAAATACCACTGAGAATAAAAAAATTACTTATTAATAAGTATTATTAATAAGTATTAACTCTATTCTACTGAAAATTAAAATAAAAAAAGAAATTAAAAAAATTAAAATAAAAAAAACGTCATGTGTCACTTCCTGCATGGCTGCTCTGCTGCACGCTTCTGTTATCTTTCTAAAGTGATTGTAGGAAGCGTCTTACAATTCACTGTTTCTCAAGAGTAACTCTTGACTTTCCAGAAAACTCAAATATCTGTTTAATTTTTATTGTATATTAGTCACCATGATATCCTAGAAATATCCTGCTTATTTGTTACAAAACTCATCCCATGACTGACCTCATAAGAATCTGTGTGAATACGGAAGTGTTTCTCAGGTCACTTCGCTTTTGGACAGGACTGAGCGCAGTAATGCGGTGGGGGGGGCTCTTCTGAGGCTGTGCTGGCTGTGCGCTCAGCCTCATCTCCCCACATTCCAGGGCTTCTTTCCAGTTATTCCCCGAATTTGGGGTCCAGTTCAGGGTGTTCCCCTGCCTGAAGATCCTGTACTGGGTAACGATTGCAAGGCTTATGGATAGATAGATATTCAGCAACACTGCGTTAAGTGCGGCACTCAATTAAGCAAGAGCATATAGCATGTAATGAAATGTCCGGGAGAACTCAATACATTTGAGAAAGTTCTATATTGGTTGTGGTTGTGGATTGAGGAGAATCTCACTGGACCCTCACCTGACCACACACTGTGCCAGTGGCAAGGAAACAGAATCTCCTCCGTGTCCTGAAGTTTGACTGCATGTGCAACAACAACAGCAATAGTAATGTGGTTTTGTAAGGTGTGTCAGTGTCAGTGCTCACCAGGGGTAGACTGGCACCAAAGTCAGTGCTCACCAGGGGTAGACTGGCACCAAAGTCAGTGCTCACCAGGGGTAGACTGGCACNGTGCTCACCAGGGGTAGACTGGCACCAAAGTCAGTGCTCACCAGGGGTAGACTGGCACCAAAGTCAGTGCTCACCAGGGGTAGACTGGCACCAAAAGGCAAACTGCCAGTTGCGGGGGGGCATGCTATTTTTTGTCTCAACCTGGGGAGGGGGCATTACGGGGTCACCCTTGATATATTTTGCAGCATTGGGGAAGAAACACTGGCCCTCACAAATATTCCCAAACTTCCCAGTGGCCAGTCCGCGCATGAATACCAGCTCCAGTTTGTGTTAAAGGTTGTCTTGTAATCTCCACTTCATGTGGGTTTCCTCCCATATGTGTGCATATGCGTGTGTGTGCATATGTGTGCGTGTGTATGCGCGTGTGCGTGTGTATGCGTGTGTATGCGCGTGTGTGTGTGTGTGTGTGTGTGTGTGTGCAGTACACTGCCATCCTGCCCTATGCTGCACAAACAGCTGAACGGTGGATGGCAGGATGACGCTCCCTCAAACAGCACCAGCTCCTTGTATTTCCTATCAGTGCTAAAAAAGCAGGTGAACTTAATGGTAAAGTGAAAGTAATACCTGAGTTAATAATAGGAACAATGCACATTATTCCGAGTGCATCTATATTCATAAACAGAGCTGCAACAACCCAGCGTGTCACAGACTAATTTTACTGGCAGCCGAGTTTTATCTTCTGCTATTTCGATTTTAATACTGGTTTGCTTACTTCCAGCTTTAATTGCAGAGGGAAGACGGTTTATTGCAGAAGACTAACTTCTTTGTTTGTCATTCCTGAGAATAAGTCCAATATAGTTTAGGAAGAGATGTCTGCTTCTCACACCTGAAATTAAATATCACAAGATTATCTACATATGAAATGTCACAGTCCCCATTACAGCCACTGGTCCTCTTAGCATACAGTACATGTTAGTGGTGCATTATTAGTGTTCACTGAGAAAGAGCGCCTCCTGGTGGCCATATTTATGCACCTGCTGCTGTGTCCCTAGGCAGCTACTGGATGGTATGACTGATGCTGGGGGAAAAGTGAAAAAGAGGCCAGTCGATTGACTGTGCCTTGGATTAGGCCCATAGGTAGAGATTTCGTGGTCCAGCAAGCTTACCGATAGCTCCCTGTCTGACCTGGGTGCCAGAAGGTTTTTGTACGACAGCCTGTGGTCCCAGTCCACTGGCATCAGCTCAGGGCTTCATTGATTCTCTTTGCAGGAGCTCACAGACCAGATGAAGGCCTTTGTGGAGGAGTACGAGAAAAACACGGAGGGAAAGATAGACATCGTGGAGGTAAGAGTGTGAAGGTCCTGGGCACCTGTTCACAGCACCATCCACACCCTGCAAACGGCCTTTAAAACCCACATCCAATCCAATCTCCAACTTCTGATTCATTTGCAGAAATGTGTGTGGGGACTGTTAAATATCTAATGACCACATCAGCTGTATGTGGCGGTTTACATTTCCCTCCAAATTCCAGCCTTTAATGCCTTAATTAACTGCCTTTAATTAACATGCACGATTAGCCTTTAGCTGTTTGCGTGACACTGTTCGCATCCCGACTCCTGATCCAGTGCCGTTTCACTGGGCTCAGTAATCAGAGTGCCGTCAACCACTCTCGAGCTCCGGGGCCGAAATTCTGTGTGACAATTTTAGGATTCATTGTGGAAATACCCCAGTTGGCCATTTAGTGGATAATAAGTACAATATAATTTAGGAAGAGATGTTTGCTTTTCACACCTGAAACTAAATATCACAACCAGATTATCTACATATGAAATGTCATTGTCCCCATTACAGCCACTGGTCCTCTTAACATACATGTTAGTGGAACAGCATTGCAGACTTTGAAAATTCCCCAAAGCTTGGCTCTTGTTACTCACCAGTATTACACTTGGCAAGGGTTTTAAGTAATTTAAGTCATATCTGCGAAAGGCTGTAAATCTCGGAGGCGTGATTGGCCCACAGCTGGCCCACGCCAGTTTTCATTGGCTCTGAGTGATGTCGATCAAATGGCTTTCAGTTTTCCCAAACACACTAATGTGGCACATCTATATTTTCTACATTTTTTTAATTTATGTTATGCACTTATTAAAGTTATCAGGAAGGCCGAAGGGGCAGTCGAGATGTGCAGGAAGAGGACTCCAGTGTGGATGATCGCTGAAGGTGTTGGGGAGGGGGGGCGGGGGGGTTGGAGACAAGAACCACGGTACAAAGTGATGCAAACCAGACAAGCAGATCACCAAACCAAACCTGGAGAGACCGGCAGCAGAGAGGCCTGGTGGGAGCAGCCAGTCTGAGCCTGGGGAAAATCTTGCTCATGAGTGCAAATGGAATCTGGGACTTTGGGTTTTAATTAAGTCCTTAAGGAGGGACCACATGGGTGTAACATCATCATTGACTTGACGGCACCTAATGATGATAATTATTAATGTAGAAGACACTCCTTCTCTGGTGATTGGACACCATATCTCACTCTGATAGGTTGATTAGCTCACTGTACGGTCAGCGGTTGCTGTAATTATTTAGGATTCTGAAAGTACTGCTGTTTAGCTTGCAGTGTCGGGCGCTGGGCAGGCGGGTTTGACGCCAATCTTCTGATCCTCTCTTGGTCACAAGCCTTCAAATGGAGTAAAACTCGTCTCCTGTCATCTCTCCTTCCTCACAGCTGGTGCAGATTCTGCCCTTTGAGGAAAACTTCTTGTTATTCTTCCGACAACAACTCAGGTCCTGTACGGAGTTCGTACAGGTATTTCATGACTAAATTACTTATATAGCCAATAAATATTTTAGTTATTAAGTAATTATAACAGATTGAGCTATGAACTGCCTACAGAGAATTCGTTTTTTAGCTTTTTACTTATGCAGGTATTATAGTTATACAGTTATCTATACAGTCAATACAATTGTAGTTTTGAACTTCGTATTTAGGCATTGAATGTTTTAGCTATTAACTGCTATAAGAGATTTTTAGTGGGAAACTGCTGAGGGGATGGTGTTTTTAAAAGCGGGACAGCAATAACCGTTGTGAGATTCAAACCACATTCAGTTCCTTAACTGCAGCGCCCCCTGCTGTTAGTGAATTTCAGACAGTACGTGTTCACACACAGCACCGTGTTTTCACAGGCCTGGAGACGATATGACGCGGATCACAGCGGCTACATCGAGGCAGAAGAGCTGAAGGTGAGTCTGGGGTAATTAATAAGGACAGAGCTGGCAGTGTCCCATGCACTCTAATGTCAGGCTGTCACCGCTGAACCCATCAGACGTTAATTCCCTTCCAATACCAGGTGGTGACTGAAATAATGACTTGTGTGAGTCTGTCTCTGTCCATGAAACATCTGCTGCCGCTTAAACCATAATATGTAATCGAGTGTTAGTTATAAACGGCAGAATTATAAATCATATGGAAGCTGAGAAATGGAAACAACTCTTTTATTTCGTAAAAAACAAGCCCGTGCAAAGAATCAGATTGAAAGGTGCCGTCGAATGGCCAGAGCTGAACGGTTCTGAAACGGCGTCTGAAAATCGGTTGAGGAACGAAGGCCGTTTCTATTAGCCACTCCACAGCACAGCTGTCAGATTTTCGGCTGGCTCCCAGGTAACGAAGGCCATCAATCACAGGAGCTTTTTACAGCAGGGACCCAGAAGACGGACTCACTGCAAAGGGCAGGCGACTTGAAACGACTTTGGATGTGTGGGCAGGCCTTTACCGTCAGTGCCGGTGGTATATATCGTCCTCTGGACAATCTTGACAGCTTTGTTTTTAGCAGTGTCAAGGAGGCAGTCAAGCGTGGTTTATGGAGTGTGGAGCATGAAGCCGCAACACCGGCTCCCTCTATTAATCTAATCTAAACTACTCATTTTACGCTTCAAAATCTGAGAAGCTCTGCGTCGCACCAATAAAGTGTGGACAGCAGAAGCGATTAACTTTAGGATGACTATACCCCCCGCATCAGGAGAAAAATGATTTGAAGGTCTCCCATTGGGAATTTCTCTTATTCCAAAATGGGTTAGGTGGTACAATTTGTATGTGTCTGTCTTTTATTATTGGCGAGTGGTAAAACTGGCCACGATTCTGCTTTCTGCTTTTCAGAACTTCTTGAGGGACCTAATGAAGAAGGCCAAGAAGCCTTATGACGATAAGAAGCTGGAGGAATATACGCAGACTACAGTAGGGGTCTTTTGGTGTTGGGGTACATGTCACAAAGGGGCCATTTTGTTTGGTGAGGAATCCAAACTAGCCCACCTGAGTGAGAGCCCAATGGGGGGGGGGGATTACGTCAGCTGCTAGATATCTGCATGTCAGTGTCTTTATGGGTTTACTACTAGGAAAGTGACTCGGCAAGTGACAGTGGCCAAAGTTTAAATAGCTTTTTTCAGACAGAGGATTCATAAAATATATTATTACCTATTCATTTAAATAACTCAAAGGATTAGCATTGGTACGTAGCGACACATAGGGTAACCCTGTCATACACGCCCCCCTGCCTTAAACCACGCCCCCTCCTTTAAACCACACCCCCTCCTTTAAACCACACCCCCTGCCTTAAACCACTTTAATACACACTGGAATGTGTAGTTTTGATTTGTATAAATCGCTCAAGATTTCCCCCACAGCTGAAAATATTTGACTCCAACAATGACGGGAAGTTGTGCCTGGCGGAAATGGCGAGGTTTGTGAACCACGGCCCCGTGTCTTGCTTACATTGTTGCTGCAGAGATCTGACTTGAATATTAATCTACATCTTAATTTTAACAGACTGCTTCCAGATGATGAGAACTTCATACTAAAGTTCCAGGTAGGCATTTAAAGTTTTAAAAGCATGATCCTCTTTAATTTAACAGAATGTAATGGTTCTCATCTAGAAAACTGACCAAACCGTTAATGTCTCTCATTTTTTAAGGGGGTCAAAATGCCAAGAAAGGAGTTCCACAAGATTTTTGAGTTATATGACAAGGTACCTTTTATCCACAACTGGCATCTCCTCTGTGGTGTCCCCTGCCTTCTCAGCTGTGATGGACGGTCTTCCACACATGGATGTGTAGATGTCATATCAGGTTTTCTTGATTGTTTATTGCAGTTTGGTGGTTCAAGTAGGTGAGTCTGCTGGGCAAGAACTTCTTTGGTTTTTAGTATCTGAGCCTTTTTGAACCATCAGGTATGGAGAGGGAGGCTTAAGAGCTTAGTTCAGGCAGGAGATTCATGCGGCACATTGAGGGCTGGATTTTCAGCTTATGCAAAAATGTTTTGAGGGTAGAAGGAAAAATGACTGGTTCAGAGACATAACCAAATCAGATTGTAGAGGAGGTGGGACTAACCAATCAGATGTCTTGGACTCACCTGCTGTACAATCTGATTGGTTACCTCTCAGTCATTTTTCCTTCTGCCCTCAGAACATTTTTGAATAAGGATTCCCAGAAGCGGATATTCACACCCCAGACACAGATGATGAACTTGAGCAGTAAAGATGCCCCCTTTAGTCTACTGCTGCAGATCGCCCCAGTCTGGGGTCCAGATGACAGCTACAAATAGTGGGGGGTGGTGGGACCGTTAGGATCAGTAGGGCTTGGGTTTCTTTCGCAGTTAGACATTCGGGATCTCACTGCTAACCAAACACCCGGTGAGGTTACTGGCTGAATTTATGAAGCATCACACAGCAGTCGAGCTCCACTGGAGACCGGCGGCTGTCGTCTGTTGTAGACGCCAGCCTTCGGAGCACACGGCAACGTGATACACAGCGCTTCAAGGGCAAAGTCAGTGTCCCGGCTTCCATTGGGTTACTTACACACACACACACACACACACACACACACGGCTACTGCAGCCGCTGCTGCTGTACTGTGCTGGACATCTTAAATTCACCTCCTCTACTTTATTATTTTATTGCTTAATCACAGCTTATTGCCCAAGTAGAAAACCAGTAATTTTGTTGTATTTCTACAAGCTGTACAACAGCTTGAACCACTCTGAGCCTCAAACTAGCGCTTTGTCAATTGTGGAGTCTCTTAACTGCCAGGCCACCCCGCGCAAAATGGAGCCAGTCCTAAAACTGGCCAGGGCAAAAATTTGTGACTCATCTGATGAGTAGTTGGTGTGTTAGTGTGGAGTCTGAGGCCCCAAGGAAAACAGGCAGCCAGAGGATGAGAATGACCCCCGACTGCAGGTAACATCATTCCCGCGCGCTTCGTACTGGGCAGTTTATGGGCGACACAGCCGTCCGTAGCGCTGATGCACCATCCGATAAGACCGTTTGTCCACAGCCAGGTCTGTGCTGCGGCTGAACCAGTGATTTGTGTCTCTGTTTTCAGGACGGAAATGGATACATGGATGAAAATGAGCTGGACGCTTTACTCAGAGACTTCTGTGAGAAAAATAAGAAGGTACCGTCTCCTTAGTCTATTTATCATTTTGTTAGACTTGTGATTATGAATGAAGGAATATGTAATAGCTAAATGACTTGTGGCCCTTGAGTTTGTACTGGTCCCAGTACCTGAATAAACCCCCGAGTCACAGGGAGGTGGGACAGCCCTCTGCCCCCGAGTGACAGGGAGGTGGGACAGCCCTCTGGCCCCGAGTGACAGGAGGTGGGACAGCCCTCTGGCCCCGAGTGACAGGGAGGTGGGACAGCCCTCTGGCCCCGAGTGACAGGGAGGTGGGACAGCCCTTTGGCCCCGAGTGACAGCCCTCTGGCCCCGAGTGACAGGGAGGTGGGACAGCCCTCTGGCCCCGAGTGACAGGGAGGTGGGACAGCCCTCTGGCCCCGAGTGACAGGGAGGTGTCACAGCCCTCTGGCCCCGAGTGACAGGGAGGTGGGACAGCCCTCTGCCCTGAGTGACAGGGAGGTGGGACAGCCCTCTGGCCTTGAGTGACAGGGAGGTGGGACAGCCCTCTGGCCCTGACAGCTCTTCTCTCCGTCCCAACAGGTCCTGGATACTGCAAAGATTCCCACGTATAAGACTGCCATCATGGCACTCTCTGATGCGGGCAAGCTCTACGAGACGGACTTAGCGCTGGTCCTGTGCGCCGATGAGAACTGAGACCCGCCCACCACCCCGGTGCCCAGCCCCAACTGCCCCCCCCACCCCAACCCCCCCTCACCTCAACTCGTGGTGTGTGCAAGGATAGCTAGAAGCTCCAATGATGTAGGGTGTTTCTTTTCTCTTTCTTTGATATCTGTAAATTTGAAAGGTGTCTATCAAAGTCTGACCGCTTGTACCTTTCAACCTGTAGTTTCTATACTGTTTGTAATGTACAGCTTTTGTAATGAAGAGATTGATACAATATAAAAAGGACCTGCACTTTGACATTATACACACACACACACACACACACACACACACACACACCCACGTGCACGCACACACATACACACAGATATATATTCTGTGACACAGCATCATAACTTTGTATCTCTCCGGCAAAGTACAAAAGTGTATTCCTGAATACCAGATATCCTACTGTTAAGGACCATCAGCATCGTCCAAATGATAATTCTACTCGATGACGTTGTAGCCAAAGCAATAAAGTGTCAGCGAAAGGCAATGAGTGGAGCGTATGCGTGGGGAGGCGGCAGGGACTGATACACACACCAAACTGTTTGCGGTAGCTGAACTTCTAGTTTGCAATGCATGCCGAGTGTTGAGGACTCGCCTTCCGGAACAATACTGAGCTATGAGCACCCCCCCCCCCCCCCCATATCTCGTAGATGACTTCCCCTTTATGGTAATTTCTGGCATAATCAGACTTTTGCACTGTATGGAATGATGTGCTTCACTATGCTGAACACCACACTCACTGTGTAACCTGTTAATCACTTCAGATACTACCTGAAGTTATGGTCGTTTGTTGCAATGTTTCTCCTGAAAACGACTGAGATTAAATGTACCGTGTAAACCACTCCTTTTGCGTGTGATGTTTTTAGTATCTGGTGTTTCACACTATATTTCCATCAATCCATTTTTTTTTTTTTCCCCGGCAAGTTTTCCCCTCCGTTTCCGAGGGGTGTGAGAACAGAGGTGCAGGCGCGCACACACACAGACACACAGACACACACACACGTCAAAGTGATGGGTGACTGAAGGACAAACAGTGGAATTAGGAATTGAAAAATGCGCACGGTGCTTTACTGCTCCAGAAAATAATTAAACACCAACCACTGTAAAAGTGTAATTATTTTTGGGAGCGGTCAGTAGAGTGATGGCTGTGCTTCTCATTCACACAGAGTTCACAGACCTTGCAGTCTGCTTCTGTGCCGTTTCATTCACTGACCGTGCCTCTATTTCTCTGGGGGGGATATGTATGTGTGCGGGGGGGGGACTTTTCAGCTTGGTGCCTGTGGGGGGGGTGTAACATTTCCTGGGGTATCCCCCCCCCCCATGCTAGCACACTCAGACACGCAAGCTCCTTCCTTTGGTTGGTGCCTGATCACTGGCGATGCAGCAAAGACAGCCATCAGCCCGGGGGGGGGGGGGAGTATCAGAGGAGCACATGGTCTGGTGCGGAATGGAAACTGTGCCGTCATTAATAACCAGACAGTGAAGCACCATAAGACAAGTTATATATTATAAGACCACTGCAGATCTCTATTTATCTTCCCACTGTCATCCTACTATTCAGCAGCAAGATAAAAATAAAAGTCTTTAAAAGAATATTTCGCTTTATCAGCCAAAAAAAAAATGTACACACTTTTGCTTATTTTATTGATGCAATGTAAATGATAATTAATCTTGACAACCTTTCTACATAAGACGTACTGTGTCCTACCACGATATGGGCAGGGTAATCTAGAGTAAATATAGGGCCAGCAATACTGAGAAGGGGGTGGGGGGGTATGATAAAGATCCCTTATGGGGATGATGAAGCTGTAACCAAGGCTAGCCACGCTATAACACAGGAAGATCTTATCATATAATTGCCCCCCTCCCCCAACACCCGACCACTGAGCCGTTATATATAACTGCTTATCTGTGCCATTTCAGCGCTGCTAACACTGGGCAGCGTGTCGGAGCCACATTCATTCATTCGAGAAGCGGAGCCCGTTTGTTTTGGCTCAGGTGCTGTCGCTAAGCGGGAACTTATCAGGCACATGCAGGAGGGCTGTTCAGGGCCCTGAGGAGGAAGCTGGCCACGGCCCCGAGGAGGACGCAAGGCTGGCCACGGCCCCGAGGAGGA